CATTGAAAGCAAGTTTGTCATTTCCTGTCCCAAAGGCGCTGTTGGCATACAAGTTAGCACACACCCCTTTTTAATATTCAACATTGATTAAATATGATTAATTACGTGCCATCAAGTCAGTGTCAACTCTTAACAATTATATAAATAGCTTTTCTTCAGGTCTTCCAATGGTGGACATCGCCAGTATAACTGAGTCTATCTGCTGTGCTGTTGGTCGTGCTCTTCTCTTTCCTGTTATCTTTCCCAGCATTAGAGTCTTCTCCAGAGAGTTGGGCTTTTGCACAATGTGTCCAAAGTAGGATAATTTAAGCCTGGTTATTGTACTTCAAGTGAAAACTCTGGATTGATTTTTTTTGATAGTCCATTTATTTGTTTTCTTGGCTGTCCATGGTACAGTATTCTCAGGAGTTTTCTCCAACATCAAATTTCAGAACAATATTCTTTCTATCCTGCTTTTTTCAAAGTCCAACTTTTCTTGCCATAAAGTATCATGGGGAATACCATTACCATTGTAGCTATTGACACCTCACAGCATCTGAATAACTTTTCTAAGGCCTGCATGGCTATTTATTAAGTGCTAATTTGTGGCATACTGTAATTTTTTGACTCCTTGGTCCTTTAGTGTTGATAGTCAATCCTAAAAGGCATAAGATATCCAGCACTTCAATATAGCATCTTCATTGTCAGTTCTAAGGCTGATTAGTTTGATCTTCTATATATTTAGTCTTTGTCCCGCTTTTCACTGTGCGCTTGATTTTTATTCCTAGACTTTGCAAATTCTTTGCAGCTTTGGCTATTAGAGTAATGTCATCAGCATAGTACAGGCTACTGATGTTTCTTCCTCCAGTTTTAAAATCACATCTTCCAGTTTTCCTTAATATAGACTGAGCATATAGGTTGAATAAATAATGAAAGAGTATACAGCCTTGTCTCAACTCTTTGCCTACCTGGAACCAGTTTGTTTCACCATGTACTGTCTGTACCAAGGTGTGTGTGTGTGTGTGTGTGTGTGTGTTTCGCACAAGGACAATGAGATTTATTTATTTATTTATTTTCTATAGCTCTCAAACAAGTGATTCTGGGTGGTAAACAACCATAAAAATTAAGAAACAGTTAACAATTAAAACAAAACAATCCAAACAGTTAACAATTCAAAAAGAACAAAGATGTAGTCTATCTAATTTCCATATTGTCCATCTGGTGATGTCTGTGTGTAGAAGTGTCATTTTGGTCGTTTGAGGACAGAGTCAGCAATGAAGAAATCATGGAAGTGGCAGCAATTGATAGGTCACTCCTTTGTTTCTTTCCAGTTTCCTAAGCCATGCACTCTAACATTTTCCTCCATAATTATTTCCAACTTTGGCATTCCACTTTCCAATCCCAAGCAGCACATCTTCCTTGCATGTTCTATTGATTTCAGACTGACCTTGATCATAAAATTCATCAATCTCCTCTTCATCTGCGTCAGTGGTTGGAAGGTAAACATGGATAATCGTCCCACTAAAGGGCTGCTTAGAAAGTCTAATTGATATTATTTAATTGTTGACTGCATTACAGACAAGTACAGGTCATCTTGGCTAACAACCACTCATTCAACAACAATGAACTTGTTCAGCACAGAATGAGTGGTATTTAACAACCGACTTTTGGACTTCCAGCCATCGCAGCATCTCACAGTCATGTGGTTGCCATTTGCAACTTTCTTTGTTGGCTTCTACAAGCAAAACCAGTGGGGAGGCTGCAAGGTCTCAAATGGTGACCACATGACATCCTTGCTGAACAACTTGTGGTGATTCACTTAACAAGGGCAACTGGGAGTGCCGGAATTACCGTTGCTAAGCAAAGCAGTTAGATGATGTCACACTTCATGTTCATGTCATTAAGCAACAGCAAATTCTGATTCCAACTGCCATCGGTAATTGAGGACTACCTGTACTATTCTTGCTGTATCTTTACTAGCTATAAAAAAATGTGGTTCCTTCTTTTTTTTTCATGTCCTGTAGAGTAAGCTGTATAATCATCTGACTGAAAGTATCCATCTCCACATCTGAATTTGCTGATTCCATAGATACCAGTTTGTAGTTGTTTCATTTCATCTTTGAGCTTTCCCAGGTTCATGCTTCTTATGTACCATGTTCCCACTAATTCTGCCTTTGCAGCTTTGGATTTTCATACCTATATGGCAAAGCAAACAACAAGATGTCCCAAAGAGTTTTAGTCTAGCCACATCATAAACACAATTAGTCTTCTGAAAGATTAGCAGCTTTTCCACAGTAAAATGTTCAGTTCCAGCTGGACTGAGGGGTCATCATCCAGCACTTTATCTTCAATTTTATATGTTCTATCAATGGGTTCTTCTTGGTAAAATACAGTAGAGATTTACTATTGTATTCTCTGGCATAATATGATTGGATGTCTACTAAAGTGATCATCAGCATCGTTCTATATTGCTGCCCCTCAATATAGGTGCCTGCTAGTCTTACCTGGGATGACCTTCATGCCATGGGTGACCCTGCTGGGAGTTTATACTCCATACACTCCCAGTAGTCTTTGCTCATCCTTCCCAGGAATGCTTCCTTGCCATAGTGAGGCAGTACAGCAGGACGTGGGTGGATTAAATACAATTACATAACAAAAATTATGCAAGGGCCTGCTGGATCGTGAATATAGTCTCTATTACTGGTCTCAGTGGCTGGGTACATACGCGTGAAGTTGCAAGCCTCTGTTGTTGGCATTGCATCTCCTGTGTCTCTTTCCTGATGCCCCCTTTCATGTGGAGCGCTTGCCAGGTGCACAATTTGCAAACTAAATTGCAATAGCTATGCCAAGGGATCTGGGATTTGTAGCATCTTCTTTAAGAACCTAAGAGCTCTGTGAGAGTTTTAGCATCCTCTTCAAGATTCCTTTAGGATTCCTAGGGAAACCAAGACTATTAAAGGCGTATATAATTAATATAAGCAAGTTGAAAGAGTTAAATACTGCTGTTTGTAGAGTGATGGTATGAAGAATGGCTGGTTCTCACGTGGCTCTCCAGATGTTGTTCAATTCCAGGTCCCATCAGCCTGGTTCATGATTTAAGTTGCAGACCAACACATCCTGAGAGTACTCAGCCCCCAACCATGGTATGATTTTATGATACAATGAAGTACTTCTTCTCCCCTAGGGCTACTGGAACTGCTGAATCGTGCACAGAACTGCAGGGTCAATGACCAGCGTGGGCTACTGTCCAAGGAGGATCTAATACTGCCTGATTTCCTTCAGGTGCCTGAACAAGTTGGCGTCACCTGCACAAGCCATTCCCCATCCAGCTCTGCCACTGCGAATTGCACCCTCAAGGCAGCCGATGCTGACACCTCTCAGCGTCAATCAAAGGGGCAGTCACAACCCCAGGTTTCTTCTTCTTCACCGCTGCAAATAGCAACTTCGTCATCATCGGCTGCTGCTGGGAAATCTGACCTGTGATCTACTCCATGAGAACCCCAGCCCACCCTAGGCCCTCAATTGTATGTTTTTTTTTGCCGTGAAACCAGGCCTTTCCTGTTTGATATCTGTTCTAGTATCATGATCTGCCTCTCACAGACTTGTTCCCCTGGTCTAGGTGGAAGCCTGGCTAGACCCCATCTAGCTCTTGGGACTCTCCGGCTGTCTTCAGGAATGGACATGTGTACTCCTAATGTTCTGGCCGACTTTCACTAACTGCCCATGCTGGCTGGGCAGCAGGGCACCAGTATTACTTACTTGCTGTACCAAACTATTGTACGGTGTTGCTCTATGTTGTAAAACAACTGCCAATGGCTGCTCCAGTGGCAACTACAATCCTGTGGCTAGTGGTGATGCTGCCTGTATATAGTTTGTAATTTTCGGTTTCTGTAAAATGTAAGATACACTACTGATTAAGTCCTCAGTTTTTGTTTTGGGGTACATGGGTTTCAGTTGGTGGTGTAGGGTGTGGCATGGTTTGGCATGAACATACAAGCCCACAAGGCAGACACACATTTTTTTGTTCAGATGTGAGGACAAAGGCTTTGAGGAATCCATGCTTCCTCTTGAAGCAATAGAGTGAGTCCCAATTAGCATCAGCATTTGCTTCCAAATTCATATATTTAAACGCATATGAGTAGGGATCCACATCTATCAAGTTTAAGATGGCCTAGGCAAGCTTTGCTTTGTAGAACTTGCAAATTATTCTCCCTGAAACATACACAAGGATCTTCGTTAAATCTTGATTTAGGGTCTGGAAAGAACTATGACTAACAATTTTAAAAATTGTTTTCAATATTTTGAGCTCTTGGCTGGAAGCACGACGTTTGTGGCTGGCTGCACTCCCCCACACCGGATCCTTTTACGCTATCCTTAAACCAGGGGATGTTTTGTATGCCCTGCACTGCCATGTTGAACTTGAAATACTGTACAGGTAGTCCTCGATTTACAACAGTTCATTTAGTGACTGCTCGAAATTACAACGGCACTGAAGAAAGTGACTTATAACCATTTTTCAAACTTATGACCGTTGCAGCATCCGCACGGTCACGCGATCAAAATCCAGATGCTTGGCAACTTGACTCATACTTCGGACAATTGCACTGTCCCGGGATCACATGATCCCTTTTTGAGATCTGACAAGCAAAGTCAAGGGGGGGAAGCCAGATTCACTTAACAACTGGGTTACCAATTAACAACTGCAGTGATTCACTGTGGCAAGAAAGATTGTAAAATGGGGCAAAATTCACGTAACAAATATCTCACCCTAGCAACATAAATTTTGGGCTCGATTGTGGCCATAAGCCGAGGACTACCTGTACAGGAAAAAAAGGAGCGGGATCTGATCAGAAAGAGCCTTCTTCCCCTTTGCCCCCTAAAGACGGAACTGCTGGTGGAGACGCTGCTTCGCGTGCTAAGAACAGCGGCGGAAGCCATTGTTTCCCCATTGGCTGCCCCTAACCGCGTATGTCAGCTCCTCAACATCTGAATGAGAGTCGCTGGGGAGGAGGCAGCGAGGGAAGGAAGGAAGGAAGGAAGGACGGAAGGAAGGAAGGAAGGAAGGGTGAAATCACTGCAGATTCCATCCTGGATGATGGGAGCCGCTGAAAGCCGCCACAGGCATTCAGGCAGTGTTCCAATATCTCAGGGGCTGCCACAAAGAAGAGGGAGTCAAGCTATTTTCCAAAGCGCCTGGAGGCAGGACAAGGAGCAATGGGTGGAAGCTAACCAAAGAGAGAAGCAACCTAGAACTAAGGAGAAACTTCCTGACAGTTAGAACAGTTAACCAGTGGAACAACCTGCCTCCAGAAGCGGTGAATGCTCCAACACTGGAAGTTTTTAAGAAGAGACTGGACAGCCATTTGTCCGAAATGGTATAGGGTTACCTGCCTGAGCAGCGGGTTGGACTAGATGACCTCCAAGGTCCCTTCCAACTTTATTATTATTATTATTATTATTATTATTATTATTATTATTATTATTATTATTATTATTATTATTATTATTATTATTATTATTATTATTATTATGCGAAGTAAGCTGATTCGGAGTGGGGTGGCTGCCGTATGCTTGTTAAGGGGGAGGGCCGTTCATTCATGCCACGGACATCTGGCGCTTAACATTGCTGATCCTGCAGGCCAAGTGATAGAGGGCGCTGGGTTTTCACTTACAATAGCTCCAGCGCGCTGACGTTTCCGAAGTTCAGCGCTAGGAGGCGCCTTGGCACCAAATGGCGGAGAATTCCGCTTGGGGTCTGGTTATGAGTCCACGCAGGGGTTTTGTTACCCAGAGGGGCTGCCGCTTGCTGCTGGGCAGATTGACCGGATCTCTGTTCTGTTTCACGGAGTCCCGTGCTCTGCTGTCGTTATCCCGACGCCTTAATTACTGGATTGTTTTGCACTGGGCTACTTGAGAGCCTCGGGACAGCCCCAGATATCGGTGGGATTTTTTGCTTTCCGACGAAGGTCTTCCTGCCCGGTCACATTCTATCGCGATTATTCCTCGTTCTGACGAGAAACGGAAGAAAAGCCAAACGTTTCCTTCAGTTGCAGCTTTCCCAAGTGGGGGGTTCTTCAGATATTGGGGTACAATTACTGTACCACCATCCGCAGCACAAATAGCACTGACCGAAGGAAGTTGCTGCAGGAGAGATTTGCGTAGGAAGAAAACAAATAGGGAAGAAGAAGAAGAAGAAAAGAGCAGCAAGCAAGCTTCTGGGTGGAGCCCCGACAGATGCATTGGGGGCTTTGATGCCATTGTGACGACCCTCCAAAAGACAACATTTTTGAACGACTTGGTACCTGAGTTGAAAACATATTCCCAGACAAGGAATTTAATGAGTGGTTAAGTAAACCTGTTTGATTTCCTGCTCACTTTTGAATAGCTAAAGATAGGAAAGACAGGTTCTCCCTCTCTTCTCCCCACCCCACATTTTCCTATTGAGGACTTCATTTCTCCCATTCTATCAGTCAGAATTTAAAACTTCCCTTTTTTAATTAAAAGACTCGTCGATAGAGAAGGCTGCAGCTTTGCCCACAGAATTTACAGTGGTAGAAATTTTAACCAAAATTATGCCACCATCTTCCAATGAATGCACGGGGAGCTAACTCTGTGTTTAGCTTTCCCATGCAAATTAATGCGGCACGTATGTTTAAATTACAAGTCAATGGGACATATATGACTTATTCCAGGCTGGGTTACATACAGCATTTGGCTTTTTGAAGCTCAACCTTATTATTTGGCAAGCAATCAGTTCATTCTTCAGAAAACAAAAATATATGTTCAGATGAATGATTCATATGAATATACGGTAAAAGTCTCCTTTCATGTCTTCCTCATCACCCAATTTTCAATGTAAGGCAAATCTCACTCTTCAAGAGGTGGCAGATAAGATGTCTTAGTCACAGCACATCTAATTTGTGACTAGTGCTAAACTGTGCATTGACGTGTTATGAGTGAGCTTACTTAAAATGGCACTTCTGTTATAAGGAATTGGCAGTCTCCAGACTCACGATGCATAGAAGCTGGCTGAGAAAATAGGCAGTTTAATTTATGTTTCTTCTTCTGCTAATATTCTACAAGATTCCTTTCTCCTCCTAAGTGCATTATGCTTCTCCCCAAAAGCAAAATGGAACGTGGAAAACGATGCTTTCTCCAATGGTTTGTCTCTTCTTTACAGAATTTTTTGTCTGATCAAAGAGAGTTCTCAAAATATCCACCAGGGAAGAGCCATGGAACCGAACTCAAAGGTATTTCAGGAAACATATAATACTTGGGAGGTCCAAAATTATGTTTCAGGATAAATCTTTCCAGAAAGGCTATTCCTCACACACTGCTTCTATACTGCCACTATTGTAATACTCATCAGGTCTCACTGATGTCACAAGCCATATGGAAAAAGATAGATCCCCAGTTATCTATTCCAAAGATGGTGTACTATCATTAGGTGTGTAAATTCTTCTGCTCAATGTAATCTACTAGGAAGCTAATGTATTCTTCAAAAATTATTATAATTGGATCAGTTCCATGTTTCAGTGTATTTAGGAAGCAATTGAACTCAGAGAGAATAAATATGATTAGCATGCCAAGGTTCTTAGATTAAACCTCAGATATCTATAATAAATTGTGATCTCAAACACGAGGATTGGCATAGATCATTTCCTTGTGGTCTAAAGATCCACTGTGAACCTGTATAAAATTAGACCTCCAACATTTTTATGTTAATGGACATATCTGAAATATAGAGAAAGAGTTGTGCACATTTCTATCTACCATTGCAGCTGACCCAACAATCTAAGTAGAGGCTTAGGCTTTTAAGCTTCAAAGCATAAAAACTAGTTTTCTGCTCCCAACACCCATTTCATAAGAAGGAAATGTTGAGTTTGGCTAAGTAACTTGGCCAAAGAAATGGAGTATAAGGCTGAGGTGGCCAAATCACATAATTGATTCACAGAAAGCAAACTGGTGATTCTAAGAAAAACTACACACCCATAAAATAAACTAGCTGATACAAAAATGTAACAAGCAAACCAATTAAACAGATAAGACAGAGCACAAATGCACATTTCACCAAAGGTAACACATGAAAACCACTTCTTTGCTTTCCATCTCTTTTCCAGAATGCTGTTTGCTGTCCCCAGTGTTTTTTGAGTATGCTTCTAAATGTCATAGAAGGCAGCAGCCATATCTAAATGCAGCCACCTCCAAAATTACAGCAATTCAATGGTGGGTTTTTTGGAAATAAAAGTGCTTTGCACCACAGGATACTAACATTGCAGTATCTACATTTATATAATTAATAAATTATAATAATTAAAAAATAATGAGGGCAGGGAGCCTCTTTCACGTTGGAGCTACTTGAGCTCCATATCAAACAGAAATGAGGTTAATTTATTGGGGCTACAGGAAACTAGGAAACTGCAGGTGGATGTCACAGGAAACTCACATTGCTAAATTTTGATCAGCTAAGTAAAGGAGCAAGGACGTTGACAAGGAATAATGGGGTGTTTAGTTCTACTTGTTGGACTTTCTGTCAAGACATCCACAGTTCTTCAGCCTTCACTTCCTATCTACTAGATGATACAACTGTTTCCATCCAGAGGCTCCCTCAGATACCTCCAAAATGTGAATTATTGGTCATATCCAAATTTTGTTTATATAATGATCAGGGTTGCTGGGATTCAGTTTACACTTTGGACATGATGCCCATCAGTTAACTATTGTGCAAGTTGAGAGTTGTGCTCCAGTGTAATGTTGTATTTGTGCAGGTCATCTTAGATATTACATGCACCTAACTGCTGCTGTCATTCACACTGAGCTAAAGGCCTGCTTGTCAGAAGTTACATTGCAGCACATTATTGTTTTATATAGCAGTTCAAGAGAGAACATGCCAACCCAAGCTTTT